CCTTCTCAATAAACAGGTGACTTAATGTTTAATGCACTCCCGTACAAGACTCAACATGGTGAACTCAACTGGTTCCCAACCTCCCAAAGTCAGGTTTAAGTCCCTGTGAAACCAGTGGTACTACATTGCAATCTTTACACACCCACACCAAACTGGGTAGGGCACAGATTCCTGGTTATACAAAGGCAAAGGCATACCTCTTCATCCATTGCACAGGCTACTGTCACCACTCAAATCCCTGTGCTTTGCTATCCACTTTCACTGGGAGACAGCACATAGAATACCCATATCCTCTTTGGTATATGACATTTCTAGGATTAACAAGACATGCTATGATGTTCCTGGTGCTAAGCCAGCGATACCTAATAGGAGATGTTTCAGAGGGGAGATGCCCCACACAGAGTATATCGTATTACTTATGGAGCAAATCAGACTAATCTAATCACATTAGAAAGGGGAAAAGAGGGGTTTGATAACAAACAACAAACGATTTGGTCCCCTGATGAGTAAACTACAAAGCAAGATCAATTACTTAGCTAGCCCAATAATGGACTAAAGGAGACTAACGTCACTCCTTATAGTCCAAGGACCTTACATGTTCTGTTTAGAGGAAAATTGTCTATCGCAGCCAAAACAGCCAAATTCTCCATCTAAACGTGAATCAATTCTCAATTGCGGTAGGGTTCTAGAAATATAAAGCCCTCTACTTTCATATCACATCAAAATAATTTCACAAATGCAAAATATAAATTTACTGTACACTGTTTTAACACAGTTGCAGTATTTTTCAGTGACAACATGTTTGTGGCGTCCATCTTCTGTTTACACACATGTGTTCGGGGAGACGCAGATAGCCAATTAGTACAGGTAGTAGACTCTGTTTTCCGTCTGTTATCCATTAACTTGCGCTGTAACATGGAAATATGGCAGTGTGGGAACACTAACCCTATAAAAGGTGTGTAGTAATTTAACCTTATTTTGGGGGGAAATTATTTCTCGCTGATATGAAAGATATTTTCCTTATGTTTCCAAAACTGTACAGCAAGGTATGGGTGTTAGAGTTTAGAGCAAGCGTCAGGGCTCTTAACAAAACCCCTCTCCCATCTGGCAATAGGTGCTAAAGGTAGTTAGCGTCAATGAATGGGCTATGACTTAGCCAGCTAGCTTCCCAGAACATTCTGAAATAACTATTTATTTTTGAAGAAGGTAAGTATGAAATGGACATGGTCTAATTGATTCAACAACCAAAAACAAATATCTAAGTTTAGCTTTCTTAATTAACCAGAAAATCAATGCTTTGTAGTACCTCTGGCCTGAAAATGTGCTCTGGCCATGTCAGGTTATGTGCATAGCTAGGCTACATGACAATATACTGCTGGCCACATTAAAATACCAATACATAGCCTTGGGAAAGGAGGGACAAATGCAACTGCAAAGGTGAAATAACATTGATTGAAAAGCCGTATAGGAGTTGAGCTACCATTCATGTATCGTGGTTATTAGATATTATTTACCTGTCAGGGAGTGTTGACTGTGTGCCGCTCATTGGGCTTCCGTTATGTGTTTTTCCCCGACGTAGGCTATTTTATCCAACTAGCATTTTTACCAAAATGACAACCTCTGTATTTTGGAGAATGACTACGTCTTGGCTTTTTCCAATGTCCGTCCAAGAGAGTTCCACAACGATGAAAATTATTTTAATCCATTAAAATAAGAAAATATGGGATATTCCACAGTGTATACTTGAAATCGTTTTTTTTTTTTTTTTTTAGCTATTGATGTAAAAAATGTGGCCAAAGCGAGAAATCAGAGGTGACTGTAAACATATTCTTCTTTAAAACCATTGCGGGGGCGTGCATGAAATAACGCAGTTTCATTGATAACTCTGAGTATGGTGAAATGTTCCGAGAAAATAAAACGTTAACCTCTCAATATCTTCAGAAGAAACATTAAATGCGAACACATTGTAGCCTGGGCATCGCCTGCCACTGTCAGCAATCGTCTTTGTCAATGGACCACCGGGAAAATATTAGCAAACTGGCTACCTATTTGTTTCCATGTGAAATAGCACTCCACAAAGTTACTCCTTTAATCAATCTCTTGACAAGACTCGTCCTTGATCGCCTAGAAGACTCCTGGTCATAGTTTTCCTTTCATTAAGTTCTCTCAAATGAAGCTTGGCTTCTCTCGAAGTGGTCCCTTATTTTTCCTTCCGAAATGTTTTCATGGTAACATTCCCGATTCGCCCCTTATGTTATCCCAGACGAATTTGGTCCTTCATGCCCCGAAGAATTCCCTCAACTTTGACAACAATGAAAGTGATCCTCGCCGCGTTCTAAAGGTTTTCCAAATCCCCTGTTAATTTACATGATTGATCCTCACTTTCGCACAGGCCTCTCGTTCTTTACTGTACTGTAGTGCGGATGGAAAAAGGAAATGCTTTCCCACCCCCACCCCCAAAAAGGGGAAAAAAAATCTCCTTTCCTCTGTCCCGACACAACATTCGTAACTGCAACTTTTGAAAGCAACACACGGATCTCGACAAAATCCGTTTTCTGTAGCCTAGTTCCTATTTGACTACTTTTCATGGAATTACATGCATTGGAACCAAAACGACGGAGTACATTTTCGGAATTGAACTTTCAAAACGCTGTCAGCAGCTAGTTTGGCTGGCCAGCAAATGGGATTGTCATGATTCTACAGCTCCTCTTCATTAAAGAAAATGCTAAAAGACAGACCAGTAGATGGCCAATTTATTGAAATAAATATTTATTCAGCTATCAACTTTGTGTTCTATCAACTTTGAGCTCTATCATGATTACTCATCAGAGCACACCATGTAGCTTTAGCTACAAGTATTATATTATATTGGCTAGATACCCTATATATTTATAGGCTATATAAGTATTAGGCCTAAATGACTCAAGTCTGAAGCTCTATAGGCTACAGCCATAATTTGAGCCAAACATCCTTTCAGTTAACCATTTATAGTATCATACATTCTTCATGACAGTCTGTTTTGTGGTGCATTCTATACACTGAAAAAAACCCTCATGGTATTCCCTCCTTTGTCTCCTTTATCCATGAGCAGAGGATGTTATGTCTGGTAATATATCACATCCACATCTTTAGCCCATAGCATGGACAATCTAAGCACTGGGTAATTAGTCATGGTATAGCCTAGGCCTGCCTACCTGCTTAATTCACTTTACCCAGCTGCATAACATACTATATTAAAATCAATTATCTCATCACAAATTATAATCAATCAGGATTAGTTATTGGATGTTGCAGTCTTAATTATTTAGTCATAAAACAACCACAAAGTGGTGCATCAAAGTGGCTCTAAATGCAATTGGTTATAGTAGGTTTTGACGCCAATATAGGCCTAATACCTCTATTGATACCTCCAAATATCATGATCAATAGAATCATCTGTACAAAAAGAGATTCCGTAAATCATTGTGTTTGATATAGGAAATGTTTGCTGCAGAAAAACAATAACAGTATTCAGGGAATGAACACTTGACCACTTCACTTGCATCATCTGACACTGATAGGTAGGGGCCTAATGTAGTGTAGACGAATTACCCTCAGTGCAATTTCAATCTTGGGGTCAGACTTTTTCATGACGCTTTTGGAAACATAACATTAGAGTATACTGTCATCCAGAGGACATATAATGTATTGCAGCACCAATTAAAAAATAGTAGCAATCGCAGTACATGGACCATACAGCACATGAACGAAGTACTATAGTACAGAGAATTCTAATTGCCTTAGTTTTTTCTGTGTATTTAAGTTAGTGCATGATAGAAAGTAGTCAAAAGCAACTGCTACAAATAACTTTTTGAGCAGGGTATACTAACATAAAAAATGTTATTAATTTACCAAAGATGTACCATAATTATAGTGTTAACTAATAATAATATTCATATTAAAGTCATCCCTCTGTTATCTCAGATAGCTACATGTTAACATATTCATTCATTGTTTATTCTTAGGCATTAGCTTGAATCTTAGACATTAGCTTAGTTTTGAAAGGTTACTGAACAATCAGTAACATTCCATGTAAACTGTGATGCAAGGATCAACTTTTTATCTTTAAGCTGCACACACAAACATCTAGTTCAAGCACAACAAGATGGTCCCTAAAACCATTTTGTATACCAAGTCTGATAATAGCATGATTTGTTTGTCAGTTTAAATTAGAAATTGTTTGAAATGTGCAATATTTAATGTGCAAAACTAAAAAACATTGACAAGGTATTAACTAACTGCATTGAGGTATACTAGATTTTCCCTTCTTTTAGCATTCCTATGAGATTGCAATAAAAATACATGTGCTAGAGTTTGTATTCAAACCTTTTCAGTGCCACCGACATCAAACACTGATGGCAAACACTCCCTGTGAGGGAGTTCCACAATTAAAATCAAAATGAGGTAGAGCTGCATTTGTACAAATGTTGATCAATTGTTCATCAGACATCAAACTCATCAGTTCAGCATCAGTAAGTGGACGGACGCAATATCATTTTACATTTACATTTTAGTCATTTAGCAGACGCTCTTATCCAGAGCGACTTACAGTTAGTGAGTGCATACATTTTTCATATCCCAGAGCAGCATCCAACTTCTGCTGGAGTTCAGCCACCAAGGGTAAAAGCTGATACACACCAGGGAGACTGCTACTGACTGGCAAAATATTTGAAAAACATTTGGTAGTTAAATATGCATTGGAACATACTGCCCAGGCTACATCAGCTTATTTGCATTTCACTTCTGTTTTCGCGGGGGGAAAGAGCCCTAAGGCTCTGATTGGCTCAAGGGTGTGAAACTATCTCAGACGTCCATCCCAGATTTTACATATTGAACCTGGTAAGATGCCCACCGCTCACAACCACCCAGCAGGTGATCCCTGGAACACAATGCCAGGACTGCAGCTGACGGTCGCCCGATGTATCTCAGATTAAATACCTCCACCTCAGTCACCTCAGTCTTCACTCAGTCTTCCCTGTGTGTCCATTCACCTCTCCCAACTTGCACATCTCATGCCACCTCTTATACTTTGTCCTGGTTTTCTTGCAGGCAAACTTGGCAATGTCCACCATGAAGACCCAGGCCAGTGTGTACATGGCCAGGCCCCCTCCCTTCATGATGAGGCTGGGCCGGGGGGAGGTGAGCTCACAGTAGAGCATCATGCCACCCACGCCTACACGCACCAGGGCAAAGAGCAGGATGAAGAGCAGGTCCACCGCGTCCCCCCACAGGCTGTCGTAGCGGCCCACCTGCCGGAGGAACCAGCGGGCCTGCAGCAAGGGGTTGGTGATCTCGCTGCCGAAAATCACGGCGCATGTCTCCACTGCCGACTTGCCCAGGCCCAGCGCCAACAGGATGCCTGCGATGCTCATGGTGTGGTGGGCCAGCATGACGAGGCCCTCGGTGCGGACGCAGATGCACCAGCCGAAGTCGAATAGAAAATAGGCCAGACTAACCACCAGGGCCAGGATCTGGAGCGGGGTGTTCTCTGTACCTGAGGTCACAAATGGACAAGGTCAGTCAGTCAAGGTCAATCTCATACTGCAATTCAAATAGTTGCCATGTATACTGAAATAAAGCTAAACATAATACACTTGCATGCTTTGCAGTAACACAAATCCAAACCTCACCTGCATGTGTTAAAGGCCAGGGCCCATCGATGAAGCTAATGTATGCAGTAAGACATACTATGAGGATCCCATGTGTCAGTGTCACCAGCCTGCAGTTCCACTCCTTACCCCGCTGGCCATTCAGGTAACAGAATGCAAAGTAGAGTGAAATCCAGCCAATCAGGCAGCAGCACACCTCCAAAAGTAGCATTGTTGTCGCTGAACAGGGGAAACCAGAGTCAACATTGCTATGTCAAACAGAGACAATGCAATATCTAGGCATACACTAGTATAATCTATACTCTAGCTTTATCCCCCAATAGCCTAAACTACATAATATTCATATCACATAAAAAAACATTTGTGTTAATATTTAAAGTAATTGTTACATTTTGTTAAGTAGCTAGGGCTACAAGGTGTCAATTGTAATCAAAGAACAGGCTTATTATTTCAATGCTTATGCTATGACATTTCAAAATATGTACCTTATGTCACAATTATTTGGTCCAAAACCTAGGCTATTTTAAGAACACGGTCAAACAACAAAACAATGTAATACATTGGCCTAGTAGCCATAATAATAGGCTAGTAACAATCAATAAGATCATAGCCAAAATGCTAGCATACAACTATAGCCTACATACCTTATCTTCTACTCTCCAGATGCATCCTAACCTGGAATCCAGATCTGAAATATCAACTCCAACAAATGTCCGCAATCTTCAGCCTCCATTGGTGTTGCTATGACCTTTCAGATCTGCTTTGAAAGTCATTCCAAAAAGGCCTGGCACATTTTAAATGGAGCGCATGTTAACTTTTTCACTGCAATAAAATGTCATGCAAGCTTACTACAATAAATTAGTCCCCTAGCTAGTCTACATCCCTTCCCCCTGGTTCTCAAGCAGCTTTAGCCTCTTATGAGATTAGTCGATTCCCTCCAGCTACCCTGGCTGTAGAACAAGCAAGTGATATACGGTCCTACAGTTACTGTCTCCTCAACAGACTACATGCAACAGTCTCTATGACTGAAACTTTGATGATAAGAAAATTTAGTGAATATAGGCTAGCCTTGGACATTGTAGTGAATATAGGCTAGCCTTGGACATTGTAGTGAATATAGGCTAGCCTTGGACATTGTAGTGAATATAGGCTAGCCTTGGACATTGTAGTGAATATAGGCTAGCCTTGGAAGACAGGTAGCCTCAAAATCCAGATTGAATCACGCTATGTTTCAGTAGTGGAGCGAAACAAACTAGCAACAGAGCTGAATTCAGTCCGGATTTCTAGGTGACAGGCATTACAAGCCTGGGAATTAAAAGTGAGACACAAGTGTGCAGGGTCTACTAGCATCATAACACATTCTAGGGAACTGGTGTTTCCATGTTTGATTAGTCTACTATGATAGACGGGCTACCTTATTTTCCCTTGGGACTGTTAGTTAATGACACTTAGAGCTATGTGTGAAGCAGACAGAAGCAGACAGGCAGCTTTATCCCACATCCAGATTAACCATAATCTGACTATGGCAGGACAGTCAGGACTAGGTTATCTCTGGTTATCACCCCAAAGAACTCCAGGTTATTTGAGGTGAATGACATCTTACATCTTTGTCCTCATGCTATCATCTCAACAGTAGTAATGACAGTAGTAATGACAATTACTAGATAATTACCTGCTAGATAAAAAAAAAGAAGCATGCATAGATCCCATATAGATAGATCTACACCCTAGAGACTACGCTAAAACTAGTTACAATGTAGCAAATTGTGTTTCATGAAAATAACAAAATGTAACAATGTATGCATTGGACCATTGATAGATCACACTTGATAGATCACACTGAAACACACTGCAGATGGCAAAACGTGATACACTTCTGAAACATTCCTTAAAAAATACAAGAGCTGATTTAAAAATCTTTATTATTTTTTACAAAGCTCTATTCCCTCATCATTTAGACTCATTTCACAACCTAAATATATTTAAGCAAACATGATATATAAAAATACAAACAATAGGCAACATCATTATGTACGATTGCTGTCTGGCATTTTAATATACAGTGGGGGAAAAAAGTATTTAGTCAGCCACCAATTGTGCAAGTTCTCCCACTTAAAAAGATGAGAGAGGCCTGTAATGTTCATCATAGGTACACGTCAACTATGACAGACAAATTGAGAATTTGTTTTCCAGAAAATCACATTGTAGGATTTTTTATGAATTTATTTGCAAATTATGGTGGAAAATAAGTATTTGGTCACCTACAAACAAGCAAGATTTCTGGCTCTCACAGACCTGTAACTTCTTCTTTAAGAGGCTCCTCTGTCCTCCACTCGTTACCTGTATTAATGGCACCTGTTTGAACTTGTTATCAGTATAAAAGACACCTGTCCACAACCTCAAACAGTCACACTCCAAACTCCACTATGGCCAAGACCAAAGAGCTGTCAAAGGACACCAGAAACAAAATTGTAGACCTGCACCAGGCTGGGAAGACTGAATCTGCAATAGGACAAAGAATGCTGAGTTGCATCCAAAGAACACCATACCTACTGTGAAGCATGGGGGTGGAAACATCATGCATTGGGGCTGTTTTTCTGCAAAGGGACCAGGACAACTGATCAGTGTAAAGGAAAGAATGAATGGGGCCATGTATCGTGAGATTTTGAGTGAAAACCTCCTTCCATCAGCAAGGGCATTGAAGATGAAACGTGGCTGGGTCTTTCAGCATGACAATGATCCCAAACACACCGCCCGGGCAACGAAGGAGTGGCTTCGTAAGAAGCATTTCAAGGTCCTGGAGTGGCCTAGCCAGTCTCCAGATCTCAACCCCATAGAAAATCTTTGGAGGGAGTTGAAAGTCTGTGTTGCCCAGCGACAGCCCCAAAACATCACTGCTCTAGAGGAGATCTGCGTGGAGGAATGGGCCAAAATACCAGCAACTGTGTGTGAAAACCTTGTGAAGACTTACAGAAAACATTTGACCTGTGTCATTGCCAACAAAGGGTATATAACAAAGTATTGAGAAACTTTTGTTATTGACCAAATACTTATTTTCCACCATAATTTGCAAATAAATTCATTAAAAATCCTACAATGTGATTTTCTGGATTTCTTTTTCTCATTTTGTCTGTCATTGTTGACGTGTACCTATGATGAAAATTACAGGCCTCTCTCATCTTTTTAAGTGGGAGAACTTGCACAATTGGTGGCTGACTAAATACTTTTTTCCCCCACTGTATACACCATCGCATATTTATTCTCACACCTGAACTCCTGATGAATAACAAAGGAAGTGGCCAAATTAACCGCACTGTAAACATACATGAGCAGCTCAATTCTATCAAACTCATACAGCTGCATAGGCTACATAGTGGCATACAGACAGTATCTTATTTACCGGTGGTCAAATGAAATCGCAGTGGTTTAGACTCTAAAGTCAAAACCTTAGAGTACAGTACTGTAAAATACCAGGTAGACCCCATTTAGGCCATATTCATCCAGTTTTCTGAATAAGCCACTTGCGCGTGGGCAGTAGTTTAACAGAATCCGTCCCTGACTCTGACGTGTTTCTTTTTTTCATTTTTTTTGCTTCCAATAGTTTTACTCTTGTAGATAATGTAGGCTCAAATTCCGTTTGTGCTGCATATGACCACAGAAGTGCCCTAAACCGATGCCATAAATATTGTATATGACAGTTGACATTTGATTCCAATAGCATTTTAAAAGGTCTTCACGTGTGTCTGCTGGTTTGTATCTATTACTGTTTCCCTTCATTGACATCGATAGCTTAAGTTCTCTTCCACAACAGGCAGGCTTTCTCAGTGGTGATATGACGTAGGGTTCCATGTGCGATACCACGACCTGTAACGCAAAGATAACAGGTTCATCTCTCATCTGTACAATGCCATGTTGCCAATACAGCGTTAGACTAATCTTCTGTGTGTCTCCCAAATGGCACCCTATTCCCTATGTAGTGCACTACTTTTGTCCAGGGCCCATAGGGATCGGGTCAAAAGTAGTGCACTATATAGGGAATAGGGTGCCATTTGGGATATAGACACTGTTCACATGTGCTTGGCTGTGGTGAGCAAGAGTCCCTTACCCTGGTGAGCTGAAGGACTGGTTGACCTGGGAGGTCAGAGCAGCGGAGCCAGACCGGAGTGTGCCGGGTGAAGGCCCATGACTAGGACTATTAGGAGAGGAACTCGATGACACTAGAGCACAGAGGAATAGACTCAATTCAACATGCACACTGACTTCACAAGAAAGCTTGAAACTTCATACAGTGTTTCATATGGACAAAGGTTTTATAGGTTTGATTTCTCACACAGTGTGGATTTCACAGAAAATGTCTCTATGCCATTTACTTTTTCTTAAATACAGGTCTTAAGTACTACAGACTATATGAAGTAGTCTTAAATACAGGTCTTAAGTACTACAGACTATATGAAGTAGTCTTAAATACAGGTCTTAAGTACTACAGACTATATGAAGTAGTCTTAAATACAGGTCTTAAGTACTACAGACTATATGAAGTAGTCTTAAATACAGATTATATGAAGTAGTCTTAAATACAGATTATATGAAGTACATATCTTTACACTTGCCTACACCTGAAGCAGGAGGGCTGTATGATCTGGACGTGGAGGCCTGAAACAAGGTGTTACATAATGGCTGGTGAGACAAAACACAAGACAATGTACTGACAATGTGTTGTAGCGTACCTATGCATTACTATCACACTACTCTTTCATTACACAACTCTTTATCATACCAATGAACATTATTTGAAAATATGCTTTCAAACTGACTTGAAAATAGAGAGCTACTGAATGTATTCAGAGCTGGCCATTTCACCATCAGGAAAAAACATACGTTATTTCCCAAAAATGTTATACAGTGAGGGAAAAAAGTATTTGATCCCCTGCTGATTATGTACGTTTGCCCACTGACAAAGAAATGATCAGTCTATAATTTTTAATGGTAGGTTTATTTGAACAGTGAGAGACAGAATAACAACAAAAAAATCCAGAAAAACGCATGTCAAAAATGTTATAAATTTATTTGCATTTTAATGAGGGAAATAAGTATTTGACCCCCTCTCAATCAGAAAGATTTCTGGCTCCCATGTGTCTTTTATACAGGTAACGAACTGAGATTAGGAGCACACTCTTAAAGGGAGTGCTCCTAATCTCAGTTTGTTACTTGTATAAAAGACACCTGTCCACAGAAGCAATCAATCAATCAGATTCCATACTCTCCACCATGGCCAAGACCAAAGAGCTCTCCAAGGATGTCAGGGACAAGATTGTAGACCTACACAAGGCTGGAATGGGCTACAAGACCCTCGCCAAGCAGCTTGGTGAGAAGGTGACAACAGTTGGTGCGATTATTCGCAAATGGAAGAAACACAAAATAACTGTCAATCTCCCTTGGCCTGGGGCTCCATGCAAGATCTCACCCTGTGGAGTTGCAATGATCATGAGAACGGTGAGGAATCAGCCCAGAACTACACGGGAGGATCTTGTCAATGATCTCAAGGCAGCTGGGACCATAGTCACCAAGAAAACAATTGGTAACACACTACGCCGTGAAAGACTGAAATCCTGCAGTGCCCGCAAGGTCCCCCTGCTCAAGAAAGCACATATACAGGCCCGTCTGAAGTTTGCCAATGAACATCTGAATGATTCAGAGGAGAACTGGGTGAAAGTGTTGTGGTCAGATGAGACCAAAATCGAGCTCTTTGGCATCAACTCAACTCGCCGTGTTTGGAGGAGGAGGAATGCTGCCTATGACCCCAAGAACACCATCCCCACCGTCAAACATGGAGGTGGAAACATTATGCTTTGGGAGTGTTTTTCTGCTAAGGGGACAGGACAACTTCACTGCATCAAAGGGACGATGGACGGGGCCATGTACCGTCAAATCTTGGGTGAGAACCTCCTTCCCTCAGCCAGGGCATTGAAAATGGGTCGTGGATGGGTATTCCAGCATGACAATGACCCAAAACACACGGCCAAGGCAACAAAGGAGTGGCTCAAGAAGAAGCACATTAAGGTCCTGGAGTGGCCTAGCCAGTCTCCAGACCTTAATCCCATAGAAAATCTGTGGAGGGAGGTGAAGGTTTGAGTTGCCAAACGTCAGCCTCGAAACCTTAATGACTTGGAGAAGATCTGCAAAGAGGAGTGGGACAAAATCCCTCCTGAGATGTGTGCAAACCTGGTGGCCAACTACAAGAAACGTCTGACCTCTGTAATTGCCAACAAGAGTTTTACCACCAAGTACTAAGTCATGTTTTGCAGAGGGGTCAAATACTTATTTCCCTCATTAAAATGCAAATCAATTTATAACATTTTTGACATGCGTTTTTCTGGATTTTGTTGTTGTTATTCTGTCTCTCACTGTTCAAATAAACCTACCATTAAAATTATAGACTGATCATGTCTTTGTCAGTGGGCAAACGTACAAAATCAGCAGGAGATCAAATACTTTTTTCCCTCACTGTAACTGAGAGATTTAAGGCTAACCATTCTGGAGTTGAAGTTGTGTGATTTCATTGGTGAGGTGGACACGGGGCAGTAGATCCTCTTCTCCTTCTGTCTGCGGTTACAGAACCACACCCGCACCACCTCCTTCTCCATAGACAGCTGCTCTGAGATCAGCATGATCTCCTCCGAGTTAGGCTTGGGGTTCTGAATAGAAACATTGGTATTAGGTGCTATAAGCATGCATGAGCCTTTATAATGTCTTGTAATAAGGCATATCATATGTACAGTTGAAGTCTGAAGTTTACATACACCTTAGCCAAATACATTTAAACTCAGTTTTTCACTATTCCTGACGTTTAATCCTAGTAAAAATTCCCTGTTTTAGGTCAGTTAGGATAACCACTTTATTTTAAGAATGTGAAATGTCAGAATAATAGTAAAGAGAATTATTTATTTCAGCTTTTATTTCTTTCATCACATTCCCAGTGGGTCAGAAGTTTACATACACTCAATTAGTATTTGGTAGCATTGCCTTTAAATTGTTTAACTTGGGTCAAACATTTCGGGTAGCCTTCATTTACATTTATGTCATTTAGCAGACTCTCTTATCCAGAGCGACTTACAGTTAGTGAGTGCATACATTATTTTTGTTTTGTTATTATTATTATATATATTTTTTTTTCATTCACATTTATAATGTCTTAAAATAAGCCATATCATATGTATCCGCATTGCAACTAACTCAAAATGGCTGCTATGTAGTCACTCAAGTATCACAACAATGTGCATGATGGTGGATTGTTTTGCTCCCTGGAAAGCATGGAAAAGTGCTTTTAAATACGACTTATATCAACAGTTCCTAAATTACGTTCAGCATTTATGATTGGAAATGCAGGGGACAATATTAGAGGACAGACAGAGTTAACTCACATCATGGAAGCGTTTCTCCAGGGTGTGCTTGATGTTGGTTTCTATGCTTGTTCTCTTTTTCCTTTTCCTTCCATATCCTTCCATCAGGGGGGGTAGAGCGACACCGTTGGTCATAGAGTCGGAGGGGGAATTCTCTGATGTGAAAAGAGCATGAACATGATTTACCGATGTACATTTCCTCTAAAATAAATTTCCTGCCAATAAAACAAATTAAATATCCTCTCGACATAGAAATCGTGTGTAAAAACATGCAATGGCAAATGATGTAGATGATTCAGAAATACCAAGCCATCAAAAAAATATACACTGAGTATACAAAACATTAGGAACACCTGCTCTTTCCATGACATAGACTGACTGACCAAGTTAATCCAGGTGAAAGCTATGATCCCTTATTGATGTCACCTGTTAAATCTACTTCAATCAGTGCAGATGAAGGAGAGGAGACAGGTTAAGCTTTGAGACAATTGAGACATGGATTGTGTATTTATGCCATTCAGAGGGTGAATGGGCAAGACAAAAGATTTAAGTGCCTTTGAACGGGGTATGGTAGTAGGTGTCAGGCGCACCAGTTTGAGTGTGTCAAGAACTGCAACGCTGCTGGATTTTTCATGCTCAACAGTTTCCCATATGTATCAAGAATGGTCCACCACCCAAAGGACATCCAGCCAACTTGACACAACTGTGGGAAGCATTGGAGTCAACATGGGCCAGCATCCCTATGGAACGCTGTCGACACCTTGAACAGTCTATGCCCCGACGAATTGAGGCTGTTCTAGGGCAAAAGGGGGGGGTGCAACTCAATATTAGGAAGGTGTTCCTAATGTTTAGTATACTCAGTGTATTGTTATACTCTATAGTACCTGCGTCACTCAGCCACTTCTCAAGTAGAGGCTTCAGCTTGCACATATTCTTGAAGCTCAGGTTGAGGGCCTCAAAGCGGGAGATGGTGGTCTGGCTGAAGTCATTCCCATATAGCTTCCCCATAGCCAGGCCTACATCACCCTGAAACACACACACACACACAGTGGATATATTTCAATCTGATTACGGCACACTTTCAAATTATAATCTAGTTTCAGTCTACGTCATGAATTCAATTCCTGTATTACATTATTCATCGCCTTCAAGTGTGTTGACTACAGAAATGATAAGTCACTTCACTCCTGCCTTTGAGCTGTGTGTGTTTCAACAGTTAGATGATATCAGAATGAGCAAATACACCAAGTACAGAAGTTAGGTGGCATATCAGTAATCAGAGCCAGAGGCGGTAGCCTCAAGGTTAGAGGCGTGCCAGTAACTGAAGGGTTGCCTGTTCAAATCCCAGGGCTGACAGGAAAATATCTGGTGGGAGTGAGAATCACAATATCAGGTGCTGCATATTGCCATTGTGCCCTTGAGCAAGACAATTAACCCCTAACCTGTTCAAGGGGCGCTGTTCTGTGGCATCTAGACACTTGTGTTAATGTACCAGTATTTGTGGTGTCCGGGGGGTTGGGAAAAAACACAAGACGGCAAAAAGACAAAGTTGTATTGTATTTTAAGCCAGTGGCCCTCTGTACCTGGGTGAAGCCCAGTTTGATGCGTCTCTGTTTGAAGGCCTTGGCAAACTGTTCCAGCTCCTCCAGGTCACTGGCCTCGTCCTGCTGGGGGGCCCCCATGTGTTTGGGGACCTGCAGGTGGGACATGTCCAGGTGGCTTTCCATGGACGACGATGTCAGGCCCGACCGACTCATGGCCTTTAGGGAACACAGTGGTGAGGAGGAATACTGTTAAATGGATGATAAAAGTCATTGTGTAGATGTTTAGCCATGTGAAAATTTTAGCAGTGTTAGAAACCTTGTTCATGCAAAAATGGAATATGTTTGTGTGTTATGCAAATTTCGCTCTTCATAATTCCTCATATTAATATATTTGACTGATGTCAGTTAAAGTTATATGATAAGTCCTTATCCCTGTCATGGTCTGTCCTGTAAAGGGTTAATTCTGTTATCAAATTCAAGGACCCGGATGCATGACCTGTATTGTTGCCCTATTATCTTCTCAGTAAACATGATAACTTGACTTAAATCTCTCTGCCTCATCCATATAGCTAATCATGTCAACTGGTGTAAGAAGTGTGATTTTTACCTGAGGTGTCAATGCTAACCCAGGCTGGTGCTGGAGGAGACCTGACTGGTTCTGGGTGGGAAAGCTGAGGAGATTCTGCTGCAGAAGTGCTACACGGGGGGGAAAAGACTGTTATTGATACAATTTGTTTAGAGAAGTATCATAGATATTGTAACTTTCACACTTCCCAGGTTTTTCAGAAATCCTGTTTGAAGAATTACCTCCCTGCTTATTCTCTCCTGGTTTCGTGAGTCCTCAAACTAGTGTAGCTGAAAAATCTGTGCATTTTGGGAAAGTTTCCGAAATATTGCAACTCTGTAGCTCAATTGGTCCTCTGTAGCTCAATTGGTAGAGCATGGCGCTTGTAACGCCAGGGTAGTGGGTTCGATCCCCGGGACCACCCATACGTAAAAATGTATGCACACATGACTGTAAGTCGCTTTGGATAAAAGCGTCTGCTAAATGGCATATTATTATATTATTATTATTTGATTGTCCATATGTACCTTGGTGCCCCGTGTGTTGTGTCTGTGAGAGGAGGAAGGAGGAGGGGGATGAGAGGTGGTGAGAGCCTGGCATAAGCACCAGCTGCTGCATGGTGTGGAGGGAGGGGAGCTCCTGTGGAAACAGAAATACAATCTTAGATTTTTCATTTATTTAACCTTTATTTATCCAGGTGAGTTGTTGAGATAAAATCTATTTTGCACGAGAGACCTGGATCTAAACCAAAAAACAACCATCCAAATGCCCTCATTACAGAATGACAGTTTCCTCCCATTCTTAGAAAGTGATAAATAATTATAGCTTTATGTGACATTAAACATGGGGCCAGGGGCCGTGCATATCAAACATATTAGAGTATACATATGGCGCCTGATATATTGAGACAGAAGATGAGTGACCTACCCCTGATAGCTGGCCACCAGAAATTGGGGATCCTTGTGTCAGGTGACATGCCTTGTGTGATGAGACAGAATGGGGAGAGTCATTGAGGACCTCTGTCTTGATCTGGGAACCAATCACATCACAGTATCACTCACTTTTCTACTTCCTACTTTTTGATGATGCAATTGTCTTTAGAAGAATAACAGTACATAAACACGGTCTTGTCGTTTTCACTGGAAATGTGGATATAATTTGTGTGTGACCAATTGACATAGAACAATCAGGCTGACATTTGGTCTATCTTGCCATATACAGTATGTGTTATTCCAACTCCAATCCTCCAGTACTCCCAACAGCCCAACTCCAATCCTCCAGTACTCCCAACAGCCCAACTCCAGTCCTCCAGTATCCCCAACAGCCCAACTCTAGTCCTCCAGTACCCCCAACAGCCCAACTCCAGTTCTCCAGTACTCCCAACAGCCCAACTCCAGTCCTCCAGTACCCCCAACAGCCCAACTCCAGTCCTCCAGTACCCCCAACAGCCCAACTCTGATCCTCCAGTACCTCCAACAGCCCAACTCCAGTCCTCCAGTACCCCCAACAGCCCAACAGCCCAACTCCAGCCTCCAGTACCCCCAACAGCCCAACTCCAGTCCTCCAGTATCCCCAACAGACCAACTCCAGTCCTCCAGTACCCCCAACAGCCCAACTCCAGTCCTCCAGTACCCCCAACAGCCCAACTCCAGTACCCCCAACAGCCCAACCCCAGTCCTCCAGTACCCCCAACAGCCCAACTCCAGTCCTCCAGTACTCCCAACAGCGCACATTTTTGTTGTAGCCCCAGACAAACACACCTGATTTAATTCATTGAGGGCTTGATGATTAGTTGACAAGTTTAATCAGGAGCTACAATAAAAATGTGTACTGTTGAGGGTACTTGAGGACTGGAGTTGGGAAACACTGTCATAGATTACGTACGTGTGTGTGTGTGTGTGTGTGTGTGTGTGTGTGTGTGTGTGTGTGTGTGCGCGTGCGTGCGTGCGTGTTCCTTGACCGGTTGGGTTAGGCTGCAGGACTTGTTAAACAAGATACAAACTCTGATAAACACCCTCCCCTCGGGCAGTGCAGTATGCAAATAACCCCCAGGACTAAAACAATAAACCTCCCTTTAACGATCTCCCAATGCCAAATGGATAGACATAGTTTAGGAATAACTTATAGGTAATAGGTTATAATAATAGGTGGACATTTTGAGGTATATAAACAGTGGTGTGAGAAATATCATGATCTTAGTGGAACTGTCCAGCACACTTACAATAAGTCGTATTCAGTTCATGTAATGTGATACTAGATGTTCTTATTACATTATTTACACAGACTAGAGTACATTGCTTTCAGTATTGACGGAATTCACAATCAATATTTTTGTTACGAAATCTTACATGGACAAGACCAATTGTTTGGAGACATATGGTATGAAGTAAAAACCTTTCAAGTTTTTCTCTATAAAATAAATGATAAACATCGTTTTTCTGTAATGTCCTACTATCACTTCTGAGACAGAAAGTTGCTCACACTTTAATTCATTCCCACTTATGGATAGCTAATCTGAAGTTAAAATTAAATTTGTTTTCTATACTCACTTGTCTGGTGAAGTCGATTCCATTTTGTTCATTGTCTGCAGGAGAAAGTAAATATCAATTATTAGACAGTCATATATTACAATGTCCTACCTATCCCCAAGCATATTAGGGCCACATTTAGGGTCAAACTGCTTTCTGTTTATTAGAACAGGCCTACACCTGAAGTAGCACTCTGGATAACAGTATGGATGTTTTTTGATAATTAAGCTACAAACCGGAATAATAGGCAAATCGCTAACACTTTATAATAACTATCATGAATAAGGCATTATAAATGCTTGTAAATGTTTATAAATAGTTTCTAAATTATCATACATTTTATAAATGATTAGAAATTGTAGTGCTCATAATACTTATAATTGTTAATAAATGTTTACAAATGATGAAATACTTATTTATTAATAGTTTATAAATAGTTTATACATATTTTCATGAAAGTTATTGTAAAGTCTTACAGGACAAACCACATACAGAGACGCCATGCCCATTGAAACTGAGAAGCCCTTGTGCCTCACAAGTGTGTCCTCAATATGTAGGATAAAAATACACAAGATGTAGTTTATTTAGACAGTTTCTTGGCACTGACCATATATATCTTCATCAGGGCTATAATGTAAAAAATCCAACACAGCCATATGGATGATTCACCACAATATGGAGTGAATGATTACAAAGGTTATGATCACATTAACCCTTTTAAGACACTGGCACCCTCCCTACAACACAACGATGCCATACGAGACAGACAGAGAGTTCAAAGGTCTGCTGTGCAGGTAATCTTCCCTCATTTGTATTTCAAATAGGACCTCTGGGAGTTTGCGGCGAGTGATGTGCCTGCTCAACCCACAGTATGGAAATCTCCCACCCCCCGAGGCCAAACGTCCAGTATGGAAATCATGGAGCCATGCAAATCAGCAGTGTAGCCTTGGCAACCTTTTCAGGCCTTTCCATTGTAATGTTTACAGACCCCCAGGTGCACTACACACATTGACTAACTCCAGACCCAGAACTATAATGGAACTGGGATAGCATTGGCAACACAGAATAGAACAAAACTTTGAACACTATGTATACTGTATTATTATTATTCTACTATTGTATTATATAGTATTATCTGGCAGCATTCAACTCCCCCTTATGTCAGTTCAATCGCATTTTAACATTGGAAGGCTGGGGTTGATCGCATTCGGTCCCTTCACAAGTGTCACTAGTGCAAAGGAATTTTAACTCCCATATATGTTCATATCATAATTAATTCCCTTGTAATTCTAAAAGCTTTGATAAAAAGTGTCTTCTGATTTTGTTTCCCATAATATACAGTACCAAGGTTGATAATGGTTCACTTCTAGACAAATTAATGAATAGTGTTGTGAGATTTATTTACTTACTGGTTGATGTTGTGAATGTTTTACATAATTGTGAGAAGTCATGTCACTGCAGCAAAGTTGCCTGTATGGACTCACTCACTCATGCCCACATTTATTTTTAGTCAAGTTAATTAAACCTGCATTATTCTTTTTAATATGTGGTATGTTTATTTGATAGAGAGATAGAGAAAGGTTGAAAAAAGGGTGCTGAAAGAGCAGTGGGCCGGATTCAAACCCATGCTGGCAGCGGTACACCATACATGTGCTCCAGAGGAAGCGGCTCAAGGCCTCTACATACTCAAACAGAGTGAAGGAGCTCGTTTTCACACGTAGTTCTATGTACTTTTGTGTGGCTGTCATTTTTTTAACGGACCATATATGACGCTCCGTTGCTCTGTTTGCATGAAGTATGAAGGGCCCTTTAGACCCTTAGACCACCCCAGGCCACTGCCTGCATTATTCTAACCCATATCCTGAAGAGACTATAAACCTTTAGTGGCTCCCTGGATAGTGCTTTCAAAAGTGCATTTGATTTGCACAGCAGCATGTCCTAGATGATGGAAGGAGTTGACACTCAGAATAGTCTGTCTGGTTGCATGCTCTGGATGACTACTCAGACAGGTTTGCAGTCAAAACTGAAGTGTCAACACCTTCCATCCAGGATACGCTGCTATGGAAATCAAGAGCAATATCTGGCTAGCCACTTTCTGCAATTAATCATTGTAATTATACAATAAAAATATGTTGATAACTCAGCAAATACACTCTTAATTCAGTTTCTGGAAAGAATGTCATCAAAAGATAAAGGTCTCCCTGTTGTAAAATATCATACAATATCTATTAATCTATTTGCTTAAGGGACATCTTCTCAAAGGGACAATTTACATACAGAGAACTCTCTTTCTGACCTACACTACCAGTCAAAAGTTTTAGAACACCTACTCATTCAAGGGTTTTTCTTTATTTTTACTATTTTCTACATTGTAGAATAATAGTGAAGACATCAAAACTATGAAATAACACGTATGGAATAATGTAGTAACAAAAAAAGTGTTAAACAAATCAAAATATATTTTATATTTGAGATTCTTCAAATAGCCACCCTTTGCGTTGATGACAGCTTTGCACACTCTTGGCATTCTCTCAACCAGCTTCATGAGGAATGCATTTCAATTAACTGGTGACACTGTCTGTGATTTATTTAGTATTCAAGGCACACTTAACCAGCATGGCTACCAAAGCGTTCTGCAGCGATACGCCATCCCATCTGGTTTGGGCTTAGTAGGGCTATAATTTTTCTTTCAACAGGACAATGACTATTTTCCCAAGAAGGAGAGTGCTGCATCAGATGACCTGGTCTCCACAATCCCCCGACCTCAACCAAATTGAGATGGTTTGAGACCAGTCGGACCGCAGAGTGAAGTAAAAGCAGCCAACAAGTGCTCAGCATATTAAATATATTTTGATTTATTTAACACTTTTTTGGTTAATACATGATACCATATGTGTTATTTTATAGTTTTGATGTCTTCACTATTATTCTACAATGAAGAAAATTGTAAAAATAAAGAAAAACCCTTGAATGACTAGGTGTGTCCAAACCTTTGACCGGTAGTGTACATACATACATACATACACATATAAATACATACATATACACATACATACATACATACAGTGCCTTGCAAAAGTATTCATCCCCCTTGGCGTTTTTCCTATTTTGTTGCATTACAACCTGTAATTTAAATTGATTTTTATTTGGATTTCATGTAATGGACATACACAAAATAGTCCAAATTGGTGAAGTGAAACGAAAAAAAGAACTTGTTTAAAAAAATTCTAAAAAATAAATAACGGAAAAGTGGTGCGTGCATATGTATTCACCCCCTTTGCTATGAAGCCCCTAAATACGATCTGGTGCAACCAATTACCTTCAGAAGTCACATAATTAGTTAAATAAAGTCCACCTGTGTGCAATCTAAGTGTCACATGATCTGTCACATGATCTCAGTATATATACACGTGTTCTGTAAGGCCATATAGGAAAAACTGAAAAAGCGTGTGCGAGCAAGGAGGCCTATAAACCTGACTCAGTTACACCAGCTCTGTCAGGAGG